ATCTATCAGAGTGTGTGTGTGTGTGTGTGTGTGTGTGTGTGTGTGTGTATGTGTGTGTGTGTGTGTTAAGAGCATCTTTCACAACAAAACTTCAATCATTGGAAAAAAAATTAATGCTTTTATAACTTATATGAATACATTAAAAACATGTATATATATGTGTATAAATCGATTTTCGGTTTGGTTCGGTTAAACGATCACAATTATCCAAAACAAATAGAAAACCGAATTTTTAAGAAAATATAAATAAAAAACCGAACCAAATATTGGGTCTCGGTTTCGGTCCAAACCGAATTTTGATTCAGCCGGTTCGGCTCGGTTAACCGAACTTTGTGCACCCCAAAAACTTCAACCCAAAACAATTCCAAAAAATCAATCTATATCTATATCTATATCTATATAAAGAGACAACCAATTTACTAAAAATAGTAGCAAAAAAATCAACATAATGCAGTCTAAAGATAACAACTTTTTATTTTTTCTTAATTACCTAAAACGCAGGGTAGTTAATTTTGGATTCAAATCTTAGTTGAATTTCTTTAAGTGTGCTTTTTATAAAAAAAACATTTTAAAAATACTATGAATCAAATTTCTTGATTTCCTTGAAAGATTTTCTTAAAAGTTACTATGGGTTTTTTCAATCTATGTGTACATAAAAATAGCGAGAATCAAATATTTCTTGATTTCTTAGAAAGTTTATAAGTAAAAATCAATACATGAGTCTTCATTGTTATTACATTCCTAATTTTTTTCCAGTTTACAATGTTAATCATATTTTTTACCATTTGTTCATTTTATGACCATTTCTTTTCCAATTTTATTCTAACATTTATTACGGAAACCCCCAAATAATTTAATAATAATAATTATTTAATAGTTTGATATTTATATATATGTATATATATATATTGCATTTTTTTTTTGTTTCCTCTTAGTAATTTTTATTACCATCCATTGTAAGATTTTTTATTTTTATTTTAGGTAATGTGAAATCAATAATTAATGTAAATTGAACGATAAAAATTTTAAAATATTCAATTAATTACTTTATTTCTGCCTAATATATTCTTTTAAGTGATATAATATCAATAATTTCAATTAAAGTTAGCAAAAACTTACAATTGATTATTCCATTTCTCCTTGATCTTAAATTTTATTTGATTTGTAAAATATATACAGATATGGTTATATGTTAATAATTGAAATGATAATTAGAAGTGTATTATGTGTGTGTGTATATATATATATATATGTATATGAAATTAAAATATTTCCTAAAACATTTAGATTATGAAATTTTCAAACTTTGATTTATTTCCCTTTTAGTTTTCATATCGTTGATTTTTTCTTATTAAGTATCAATTCCATCGATTTATTAAAAACGTGAAAACCTTTTGTATATTATTCATTTTGTATTTATAATATTAAATTAACCATTGTTTTACAAGTTTTGACTCGACACTCATATTGTATGTATAAAATAAAAAAAAAAAGTATATTTTTTTAAAGTATTATCAAGTTTATTATTTAATTGCACATATAGAATGAAATTAAATTTACTAATTCACAATTATTTAAAGTAAGAATTCGTCTCAAGTTATTCAAACAATAAAATATAAATGTAAATATAATAAAATGTATTAATAAGTAAATATCTTTCGTGGATTTAAGAATTTAGTGATAAAAAAATAGAAATATTAGTAAATATTAATTCCGCTAATCAAATATAATTGATATTATAATGTCAAACTAACAGCTCATTTGTCGAACCGCCAAGTAAATTATGAGACATAAGTAAATCCTTCTGAACTTAAGATTCCATTTAAGTTCCAGGGTAGAACTTATGGTTTCGTATGTCTCGACCATAAACAAAAGTTAGTGACTGTCTTTATCGCACGTTGACATTATCATAAAGTAATCAGTTTTTAGTCACGATCAATTATATGTTGTTTTTTTGCGTGTAAGCACTACAAAGTGGTTGGGAATATTATTTTGTAGGGGCGACGAGTTGTCAAGTATCAAACTAATAATGTTGTATACAAATTTTTTTAGTAATGTATAAATTTTTTCATTATGAATATTTTATGATTTGGTAAATTCTCTAATATTATAAATCTTTTATAATATTCTCCAAAATAAATACCTTCATACTATTTTATTAAAAGTATTAACACCTAAACTAAAATGGGGCATTCTATTATCAGATTTGCCTCGTACCAGCTTCGTACCTACCTAACATTA